GGCCTCGGGAATTGAAAACCCCCCGTGTGTCTGCAGGAAGCGAGGCCATATTGGATTTTGGAAAAAAGGGCCCCAGATGCCATAACAGCTCATTTAAAGTTAAAGATGAAGCTTCTTTTTTTAATGCCCTAGGGCGCATAGAGTCTCTTCAGAGAGGAGGGCTGATATTAGCTGGAGACAACAGAGAGGGAACAGAAGCCTTTTAAAAAGAGACATACAATACTTGAGGAGGAAACTGACTTTTAAATCTGAGGGGAAAAAATGATTTGACTATCTTGTTTGATAGCAATCTGTTTGATAAAATAAAATAAAATCTCAAATACTCTGGCATTAATAGTACGAAAGCGTAATAAAGAATACTCACAATCTCTGTAGTTTTCAACGTTTTGTGTCTTTTGCTTGTAGGCAGCCAATATTAGTTTTAATTTACATCTGTATTCAAATCAAACTGATAATTGAAATCTATGAAAGTATGAAGAATATCATGGCAATATCAGAAATGCAGCAGGAAGTGCAGAAAAAACACATCCAATAAAAACACTTTAATAATTCCTTACACCATGATGTTGTGATATGTAATATTATCTGTGATTTATAGTAAAATAACACATGTTTTTACCGTTGATGTTTTTATAAAAACCTTGCCATGAACAAAATAACATGATTTGAATAATGTGTTGTGTAATCACAGACTTACAGTATATAGTTGAAATGAACGTGTTTACTAGATTAGACAACATATTAATTTTTATCTTATTGTTTGAGATGTCTAAGGGTTTCGGCCTTCTTTCTACAAAATGGTTTGACCATTTTATTCTGGATAATTCACATTAAACTGTTTTAAATTAAAATAATTTGTACCTAGTTCTAATTAAATCTGTGCAATGTTTTAAATTATTCTTGATGACATTATAGGTCTCAGAAACATGAATTGGGGAATCCATTTCCATGACTGAATTAATCAATCAAACGTTATCTTAATAGCAATTTTCATACAGAAACGGCTACACAAAGTGCTTGAAAAACCAAAACTACTTAATTTGTAAAGCATATATTGACTGTATCTCATCATACTTGCAACATAGTTCGTTATCACAATGAATACAGAGTGTGCGGCAAAAATAAAACAATAAAACAATCGCACAGTATCCAGGAAACTGAGTGTGTGTGTCACCTGCTAGTGTGTGTGTTTGTCCTGACTGCAGTTTGTATCTGCATGTCATTTGTGTGTGTGTGTGTGCGTGTGTGTATGTGTGTGTGCCCAATCAGCTGTGCGAGGTAAAAAACACCCACTTCACTCTCTTACCTCCCCCTGATTGGCTGCCGCTCGTCTGCCACGCTGCTCGCTCATTGGCCGCAACACGAGGAGGCGGCAGTTTGTTGCTGTTGCTAAGATCCTGTTGCTAGGATCTCGGGCTGTTGCTAGGAGACATGTGATGCATTATGGATGGTTGGTTTTCTTGTGAAGGAGCGAATCTGAAATGCTGATTACTGGACTCTCATCTCTGTCTGTCACTCTGACTCCATCACTTTCTATCACTCCCTCTGTTTCCATCATTCTCTCTCACCAGGCATTTTGTCACTTGTTCAAATTAATGGAAGGAATATGGTTTATCACAGTATTGCTAAAGCAGGTTTGTAAAAGGCTTACAATATGGATCCCTCTTGTGTGGAAGTCAATGGTCAGAAATGGTTTTCCTGAAATAAGGTATGGTTAACATAGGCTGAATAGTTTTCCACATCTTATTCTATGAAATATAATACATCAGGAAATACCCAACTGGTGAATAAAAAAAAGTGGCTGTTGCTAACAATTTTCTAAATGAGACGACTAAACGTCCTCACGCCAAACATTAGCCGCCTTTAGCTTAGCGGTGGTGACGTGAAGTCATGTGACCGTGTTGTAGTTCCTTTATAGTCCAACATTAGCCACCTTTAGCTTAGCGGTGGTGACGTGAAGTCATGTGACCGTGCTGTAGTTCCTTTATAGCCCAACATTAGCCTCCTTTAGCTTAGCGGTGGTGACGTGAAGTCATGTGACCGTGCTGTAGTTCCTTTATAGCCCAACATTAGCCACCTTTAGCTTAGCGGTGGTGACGTGAAGTCATGTGACCGTGCTGTAGTTCCTTTATAGCCCAACATTAGCCACCTTTAGCTTAGCGGTGGTGACGTGAAGTCATGTGACCGCACTGTAGTTCCTTAATAGCCCAACATTAGCCACCTTTAGCTTAGCGGTGGTGACGTGAAGTCATGTGACCGCACTGTAGTTCTTTTATGGCCCAACATTAGCCGCCTTTAGCTTAGCGGTGGTGACGTGAAGTCATGTGACCGGGCTGTAGTTCCTTAATAGCCTAACCTGTATGTATCATAAACGTTTCTTTG